CGTGCGAAGTGCCCAGGGGCATTGCAGTTGTGGCATAGCCCTCGTTGTTGATCTGCCCTTGAGCGGTCAAGGTCCATCAGCTGAGGCAGTGGGGCTGTAGTCGTGGGGGTAGTAGGGGTCATGGCAGGTCACGGTGGTGGCCCCAGTGGCGGGCATGGGAGGGTCTGAGAGAGTGATGGCAGCGGTCTGGCAGGGGGGAGGGGCGACTTGAACAGGGGGAGTTGGGGTTGAGTCGCCTGGAAGTGCCACCATTGGTTGTCGAGGAGGGTAGCCTCTTGTTTCCATTCTGCCCAGGTTCTTGGCATGGGGCACAGATGGTAGATGCTCTCACGGAGCCAGGTGTTGGTCGCTTGTTCAAAGTGGTCTACCAGCCCTATGTCACCTAGCCACGAAGTGGGACTGTGGAGTTCGAACTCCTGGATGATTTTATCCATGGAGTCAGTGCCTTGCCATAGAGCGGTGAGCTTCTGCCGGGCGGTGGCTTCCCGGTTGGGGTCTTGAAACATGGCATCCAGCTCTGCCATGAACTCGTCCATAGTGATCATGGGGGATCCTGCTGTCAGCAGCGCGATCGTGTGCTGTGTTGCCCATGCTCCCACAGCTCCTCCTTTCATGTACAACAGGACGAAAAGGATTTGGGACAGGGTGTCAGGGAACTCTGTGGCACGGACATGGAAGTAGATTCTGCATTCCGCTTTGAAGCAGTCGAGGTCCTCGCTCGCTCCGGCAAAGGCGGTGGGGGGGCAACCTTGGGTGCTTTGGGCTTGGGTGTAGGTGTGGGTGCAGGTGGAGGCGGGGCTGGTGGGTTCTGTTGAAACTTTCTTCTGCTGTCAGGGATGGCTCAAGGAAGGCAGAGGTGGTGGTGTAGCGCTCGGCGCTAGCGGCCCAGATGGCGGTGGGGTGGTGAGACCATATAGTGGGCAGCCCTCACTCGGGCTTACGTCCCTGTGTGGCTTCTTAGGCTGAAGCGGGAAATGTATTGTTATTAGGGTGGGAAGCTAGACTAAACTAGGGTACTTGCCTGAAGCGGGAAATGAGAAGAAGGTTACTTCTTCGGTCCTGCTTCGGCTTAGTTTATATACATGTGTGAATGGGTCATGTGGAGGTGCCACATCACCCCCAGACGAAGCCGGGTTACCACAGGTGGCTCCATGGTTGATCCCAGGTGTTGGAGGGGAAATACAAGTAGGAGTGTGTGGCGCGTCCGTGCTACAAGTGTAGGAAAGAAAGAGAGGTCGTCTGTATAAAGATAGAAGAGGAGAAGAAGGAAAGAAGAGAGAATGAGAGGATGAGACAAAGGAAAAGAGGTGGCAGCGTGCCCTGACATTGCTCAGAAAGATGTGCTGACTCAAGCGAGTGCGGCCAAGAAACAGCCAGTTGAATTGACTGAGCAGCCAGGGACCCAAACGACGACTTGGCTGCACGATCTGCATGACACATCAACCTGGCAGTGTGCATCGTGGTTGTGGAAGGTGAGCTGGATAGCTTATTTGAATGTGTCAACCTGCATGGATGCCACAAGGATGTAATTGGGCGCAACTGGGCAGTTGGGCACTTAAGTGTTGATTTGAGCACACAATGCATCGAGCTGGGGATGTGGCCTGCACTCGATGCCCAGGCTGCAACCCCACAATGCAGTTCACCTGAATGTGTCGGCTTGGACAGACACTGTGAAGGACCTGAAATGGAGCTCCGCTGGCCAGACGGTGTTATTAGCTGGGCCACGGAAGGTGCCAAACTGACTGAGTGCATCTCAGTCACTGAGCAAATGACATCTGAGCGATTTGACTCAATTGGACATGCCAGCTCCGATGAATGCTGGGGTGTCATGCTGGAAGGGTGCATCGCATTCGATGAACCTGCTGGTTGACCAGATTGAACAGACAAAAACGATGACTCCACCATGCAGTATGTCGATCCAGTGGTGTGAGTTGCACTCAGTGGACCAGCCTGTACTGGGCAATGTGGTGCGAACAGGTGTGCCAGCTTGGGTGAGCCCATCAGAGGGGGAACCAGTTGATCCAGCTGGGTAAGGCGCTTAGACATTGGTTCACCTATGTGCACTGGCTCCAGTGAGTGCTGTGAATGAGCAGATGATGGGTCCACCTGGATATTCAGGAGTGTTGATTCCGCTATGTGTCGTGCCATGCCGCCAAGGTTTGTTGCACCAGATGGACAGGACACATCTGAATGCAGCGATTCGGGTGAGCATGATAGCTCAGGCAGACATTGTGAGTTATCGATCGAGAGATTTGACTGAATGGGCAAAGATGATGGTTCGGGTTTGCGACAAGTTGGGCTAATGGCACCCATTGTGCTCATTGAATGGGCCATAACCGAACGAGGCAGCCCGAATGGGGATACTGGCCCAAGTAATTGCCATGGAGATGCGACAGGGAAATCCAACTGGGCAGGCAATGACAACGATTCTGCCTTGCTACAGGTTGGGCTAGCGAAGTACCCTGTGCATGACAATCATGCTACAACTGGACGAAGTTGCACTGTTGGGCGTCCCGGCTCCAGTGAGTGCTGCACAGGAGTGGTCATCTGATGAGAACGGGGCATCAGGCTGTTGTAATGTGTCGTATTGGATGTACAAGCTGCAACTGGGCCATCTGGTGCTGAGGACGGGCGCAGTGAGGGCAACTCCAATTTCACTACAGTGGGCAATATCGCAATGACCCCAGGTGTACAAGGTCGTACCGGTACCAACGAGGGGTTGGCTGTGACGATATGGGAGCTCGCTGCTTGGGACTGCGTGAGGACAAGGGCCTCCTTAACACTTTTGAAATGTAGAACGAAATCAGCTAGTTTTCGCTGTAAATAGTTCCAAGTTCGATGTAAAGTGCTTAACTCGGTCCAGCCCAATGTGATCAACGTCGTAAGGATGATCTGTCCTGGGTCTGCCTTGAACATGGCAGGGATGAGATTGGAGTTGGAGATGGTTTGGGTGAACCAGTCCATCGCTTGAAGGATCAGTATCAGCTGTTGACTGCGCTCGTCTGTGATGCGGTAAGAGGTTGAGGAGTCTGTAGCCAGTTTGCGGAATGACTGAACCTCTATGTTGTCTGGGCCCAGCTGTTGCCACTCATGTAGCAAGTCCATAGGTGCACACTCATAATAGAATCTCCATGGTGATGAAAACTTGTCTAACGTGTGCTTTAGTGGGATGGTGGAATGCTGGTAGTCTGAGTTGACGGCACCCAAATTAGATGAGTAATCCTCCTGTGTGTGAGCTCAAGGTTGCACGATTGAGTTTGATGCTGGTGTGACCAGGGTTGGGGCACCAATGTTACAGGAATGGGTTCCGGGGAACCCAACCTGAGCTGTTCTGCTCACGGACAGAGGTGGCTGCATAGCCATTGAAGGGAGAGCAGGAGGAGATCTGAGACTGGGTGTACTAATGGTAACTTGGCGCTCCGAGGAGTGTACCGGCAGTGGGTGTGGTGTCATGCTAAGGGTAACTTGGCACTCCGAGGAGCATACCGGCAGCAGGTATAATGGGGGCTCCTTGAGGGAGCCATCTAACAGTTGGCTAGCAGTGACTTGGCACTCATGTGAGCGTACCGGTAGTGTGGGTAGTTGGCACTCCTTGAGGGAGTAGCCCAGTGGTTGTCTATCAGTTACTTGGCACTCAAGGGAGCGTACTGGTAGCGGGATTTGTTGGGACAGGCAGGTTGGTTGACCAGTGCATGGTAGTGAGTGACTGTGGGAATTTGGGCATGCGGGTACGTGGCCAGGCATCCTGGGGCTGCCTGGGTCACTTCTCCCTCCCAAGAAGGGGGGAAGGGTTGTAGGACCCAGTAGGGTACTACAGGAAGGATAGGAATGGGAGCTCAACCACCCAGTGGGGGGTGGGAGCAGGAAGAGTGAGGTCCAGTGTCTGAGCACTCACCGGGCCGTTGAGGTTTTCTCACAGATTGTAAGAATATCGATGTAGACATCGATATGGACCAAGTCAGATGTTACAGAGAAGGCTTACAGTGGTGGCACAATGGTGTGGCAGTTACAATCACAGTACAAGGTTTTGTGGGTTATGTATTAGATAAGGAAAAGACATTTTTCGGCATCTGCCTTACACATCATATGACTTCTAACTATCTAATATAAAAGTCATAATGGTCAAGGGAAGTCCCTTGAAACTCAACAAATCCCCCAGCCAGCACCAAAACCCGGTGGGAAAGCTTGGCATGGGGTTTGATGGAGAAGTAAAATGGGGAAGGTCCTGGGTCCATCTGCTTGCAACCACGGACCATAAGATTCTAGCCTATATCTATAACACCAAGTATAACTTGTAGACGACCTCGAACCAATTGACAAGCCTCTCATGAAGGTGTTGACTCATTATCCATGGCCTAGTGTTACAGAAATCATCTTGTATTATACTGTGGTAATCAAGGGGGGGTCATCAGCATAGCGGGTGAGGTAGGGATAGTGAGGACGGTGCAAGAGGGCTAGCAGCTCTCTATGCCGACTAAGCTCGTGGGGCCAAACTCTCCAAACTCCTACTTTCTTGACTGAACTTCGCTATGCTCGATCCTTGAACTCCATGTGGGTTCTCCAGGATTCTGCAAGGTCCGGGCTCAACTAATCTACTACCCACTCGTTGTGGGCTAGACAGTTGCCCTTATTCCTACTGTTGGATTCCACACACTCACACCCACTCTAGCACGTCCTAGCACCTTGGAGAATTTTTTCGGGGGAGGGGAGAACTTCTTTTCCAAAATCCGGTATGTACAGGATATAAGGAACAATTATTTTTAGAAATAATTAATGGGGAATATTGGTACCATATGGCACCTGGGTACCTTATTAGGCGAAATAATAAAAAGGGTAACAGTATCAATAAAAGAATATTGATCAATAACTGAAATGATGCAAAAATATGAAAATATAAGAAAATAAGCGATATCTCAACGGATTTACGGAATTAAAGGCCAAAATTGGAAATGAAGCCGGAGATAACTCTCACGCAGCCAATAAGCATTTTTACCAATTTATTAAATGCCGTGGGAACGAGTGAGGCTGGAATTCTGGGTTGCCGCTTGAGATTCCCACGCCCGCACATGCCCGTGCCTAACTTGCCCAACATGGAACTCCGTCAAATCTCCTCCGATTGGGACGTTCTTGGTATCGTCAGAATTGTACGAATTAGGACTATTTTTAGATACCAATTCCATACCGAGTCGTCGCACGAATGAAAGTGGTTTTCTGAATGTGTGAACGGGTATCCAAGCCGGTTCTGCGTGTGGGCGATTATCCCGCCTACAACGGCTTAAATGATAAATGGTGGGGTTCTCCACAATGTCACTTGGATCAATCCTGGGGTATCCCCATGAATGACCATTGGAGAGGGGGAGTGTGCCTTGCTGACTGTATGGATCTGCAGCCGAAAAACCTTCTGGATACCCCTGAAAATGATAGGCTTTTGCCTTCATACTGTTTGATGCAACTAGTCGCCAATGTATAACACAGTATACGTTGACAGATGCTAACGAATGATTTAAAAGTGCCCACAATTAGATTGAGTGACATGACATGAGGAGATGGATCCAACACACTGAAAAGTTCATTATCCTCTTTGATGACATCCTCAAGACATTTGTGTCGAGATTTGGTCATGGTCCACTGATCCTGCAGCCAATGTACATTAGTGCACTGTAGATGACCAGAAACACGGTTGTAATTGAAAGGATCGAGAACTGGATACCATTCTGAAGGCATCAAAGGCACTGGAGTGCTGCCTTAAAATTCAACCATGACCCACCCAGGTCATTCTGGCAATGAGAATTGCAGCTCTCCACCACCAAACCCATGACCAGGGGGGTCTGGGCTGGATAGCTGAACCTGATGAAGTACCAGCATTGGATGGTGTTGGCTTTTTTTTTTGGTAAAATGCAAGTTATGAGGTATTGGCTGTAAACAAGGAACAATGAGAACTAGCTTTTGATGAAGGAAAATCGTGCTAACCTTAGTGGTCGAGGGGCCAGAAGAGGTGATGGGTTTGCCTGTAGGTTGTTTCTCCACAGCGACCTTGTCAGCTGCATCAGAAACGAGAGATGGTTGCCCAGTGTTGTTGCCTGCCACATGCCCAGTGCCCTTGGATGTAGAGGAAGCCAAACCACGCTCAGTGGCTGCACGGTTCATGGAAGGGTACTGTTTTTGAGACATTGTTTGAGCTGGGGAGTGAATGATTGTACGGTTGTGGAGTGAAATGATTAGACAAATGAATTTGGCCAAGTCCGCTTCACTATAGCAGCATGACCTTCTGGGACTGCCAACAATATTGGCTGACTCCAAACTATTCTCACAGGCTCCGGAAATGTGACTCACCCATTGTGCACCTCACAGCGACGATGGGTCCTGACTCTGCAAAGTGATGGCTATCAAGCTGCAAATGTTTCTACTTACTGGACTCGGTCTCAAAGAATATTGGGCCTCCTTATACTCTCTTGTTTGTTCTCTGCATTTATCAATCCATCGGCCTCAAAGAATATTGGACCTCCTTATACTACATTTCTTGGGATTCAAGCACACACTGAGGCCAACTCACTTTGTTTATGTTGAGTCTTGTGGTGCCTTCGATTTATTTTTTCTTGCCTGATTTGGCTTGGTTGCTGCCAAAGATAGTGCGCATTCACAGCGCTGATTATATAAACCACAATTTTTGGACCTTACAACTTTTCCTCAGTTCACGTTGAAGGAGCGGAGCTGGATCACCTTATGTAACCAGTTTCCTATGTCCAATAATGATATTAGAGTTTGTGCTGATTTGCGTACTGACCGTGTTTTGGTTGCCAAATATATAATTGTTCACTGTCTAAACAACAATAAACACCCCCCAACGATCTCACCTGACGTATAGATCGTCTATAGATAAAATTCTATATTGACTTTACTATGATTTCTAGTCAATATTACACCTAGATATACCACTTTTCAGTAGGATGTGATTTTCCTGATAATTTACTGAAGGAAAACTACTAATAAAATAATTCCGCAATAAATGTTACTCAATACAGGAGCGACCAAACTGCTCTTTCTATCGCTTAGAGTGCGTGCTAGTTATCTAGCAGGTTCAGGATCGCTCACTTTTCTCCTGTGGTGTGATAACCAAGTATTGCTGAGAGATTATTCAATTAAGAAGTCCCTCCACCAAATTCTCACTAATTCTCACTATGACACTTTTGTTCAGCTGTGTCTAACTGACCCTAACTCACGCTTAGAGTGACGTGTTAGTTTGATATTAGCTAACAACTAATATTTGCTTTTATCTTTTGGAGCAAATGAACCAACCACTGGTGAGGAGAATTAAACTTTTATTTCTACCTCAGGTTTGAGAGGGGGCAGAAGCGGCGGCCCTTTATGCTTTTCAGAGGCCTCTCTACTCCCACGCCTCGCACTAGTTACATGTGCTACATTTGTATTATAGATAGTTCTAGAATGATATAGGGGCTTGGGCTGTGTAAGCTTAATAATGGACTTAGGACATGACTCAGCAATAAGTAATTCATTTCTTTGTCTTTTGGCCCGATCTTAGCGGGATCTTGTAGCGCCGAAGCTATGCTCTACACCGCCCTAATTAAGAACGGTTATCTTTAGAAATGACTCGGCTATAAAGGAACTTTCTAGACTGTTCTCTAATTGACCCCTTTTTGTGAAGCCGCATCATTACTAATGTTCTACAGCTTTCCCAATAAATTAACTGATCCGCGGACTTCTAAATCACTTTATGATCATGATCCGAGATCCAGATCATCAATCATTTCTTTGTTCCGATTTATTTGAGCTTAAAATCAAAAGTTTTGATGAATCATGGGAAAATATACAAGATCCGGTTTTTTAGCATTTTCTCCTCTTCTGATGCGATCAAAAACTGTCCGCCCGCGCCGGGGAATACTCTATCATATGGTATTTGGTCCGCCAGACTTCCGGGCGCCAATATATTGCCCTTGATTCACATTACTTTTTGTAAGAATTAGCAAATAAATATATATGAATTATAAGGTGTTTCGCCGTTTGAGCGATATCTCCGTCAGTTTTGAAGCTTTTAGAATGAAACAAAACCGTGGATAAAGTTAAGAAACGGTCCTTTCAGATGGTAAAAAGATTACAGTCAAAGGTTTACTGGTTCCCGAGATATTCACATTTCTTTCCCAATGTTCCTTCTTATTCTGCTGTCTATGTGCTATTTTCTTGTTGTAGGGATATATTCTTTGAATATTACACCTATGCCGGGTTCTAGGCATGCTTGTAGTAGATTAAATCTCATGCTACATGGGTGTAGATAATTTATAATGATCTTCTAATGTCTGTCCAGTCTCATAAAGATCATGAGATCTGTTAAACGTCTGAACTTGTCACCTGTTCGTTGACTATTCTGATAGATCATTGTTTTTATTCTTTGAATATTATTTCTCCTACAACATACTATGGGACTGAGGTGAATATAAGCTTTTCCCTTTACTCTTGTGTCCATCAAGTTGTATCTCATTCTTGTACACCAGCAACATGATTACTTCAATATATTTCTAGTTCACATACTATGGGACTGAGCATCGATATCGCTAGCCCCATTTTGTCTTATTCTCTGTATTTATCACACCTCTATGCCTGGAATCCTATCAATCCATTGGTCTCAAAGGGATATTAAGCCTCATACTGTCTGGTCCCCTGCATTTAGCAAACCTCTGTTCCTGGAATCTTATCAATCCATCAATCCCAAAGAATATTGGGCCTCCTTTTACTGTCCTGTTCTCTGCATTTATCACACCACTATTCCTGGAATCTTATCAATGTATCTAGAACTGAGGTCCATTTACAGTAATGTAGTAATTTCATATTATGTAACTGTAACTAGCATTCATTCAACACTAGGTAACTATTGAGTAATGGATTTATGTAGTTTACATGTCTAGAACTGAGTGGTCATGCAATGCTAGGCATTGTTATGGAAATGGGAATTTCCCATTTTAGACTCTTATGGGTTCTGTATCACATGATTTGTATAGTAATAGAGTTTAACCAATCAATTACAACCAGAAAACCCGCTGCCACACTACCTGTTAAACAACATGTTAAACCACCTGTGAAACCACCTGTAAACCCTTATGTCCAACCTCCCTTCCCTTTTCCCTTTCCCTGCGCCTTGAATGGACGAAAATGGGTGCCTCTGGCCCCATTTTTGTAACAGGCATTCTAGTCTAAAATATTACATATCAATCCACCAATCCCAAAGAATACTGGGGCTTCTTACTGTTGAAACACAGCATGCTAGTGTGGGTTTTGCAACAGCCAAATTTGCATGGCTGAGCAAGTAACTTGCCCACATGTCCCTTTATTCTGACTATATGGGAAATTCCGTTCATTCAAAATTTCCTTTCTGTATATTACCTTGGTTTGCATGCTATGCTAGCTCACCCTTCTCTGTGTTTGTCACACCACTATTCCTGGGATCTTATCATAATATATGATCCCATGTCAGAGCTGACCCTTTTGGAAGCAACTGAGAGGGCGTGACCTGGAATGGTTCAATGTCCACTTGCTTGCTACAGCCCCTGAGCCCTCATAAGTGAAACCTCTCAGTCCAGATGCAAGTTCTCATGCAAGTTCTTCCATTCAGATCCCTTACTTTTCCATCTGTACTCTGCAATCGAAACCTTTTCGTTTTGGCTTTGTATTTGTGTTGTCATTTGGGCTCTGCTGTTGAACACCTTGTTGTCTGATGTCAAGGCTTGATCGTTTAGTCCCCTTGGCCACATCGGATTTGAACCCTTTGTTTGAACTTTGTGACCAAACGCCTTGTTGTCCAACATCGAGGCCTGATTGCTTAGCTGTCATATCCATTCCCGGCCATCGACTTCCGGACTCTCCGACCCCTCCGTTCTAACTCCGCTCCCCCCTCACCAACCTCGGAGCCCCCGTATTCTGCAAACCTCTCGGTACCCCTCGATGGTCACCACCCCCTCATTTCAATTTATTACCTACGCCTCCCTAAGTACGGAGCCCCGAAGACTTCCGGACAGCTCCGATGTCCGCTAGCGCACTCCCGCCTCCGCTGGGCAATACACTCGCCTGCCCTGCAGAGTCCACCTTCGGGCCTATCCCTCCTTTCCGTTTCTGGGTTAACGCCTGCCTTTCCGCTAACCCCGCGAACTGACTCATCGGTAATATTCAGTCGGCTAATGTCTTAACCCCGTTAGCTCCGCTCCGTTCGGCTCCGCCAATTGCGGAACCGTCTCCGCTGTAACCATATATATACACTACTTGTACATAGGTTATGCCCCAGCAGATAAATCAACTAGAGTTACCCCCACTAGGTTCTAAGTGCCAGTCAGTAAGTTAGGGCACGGACGTGTCACTAGGCACAGCGCTCCTGGCAGAAGTCGCTGAGGCCAAAGCCCTCCGTTACGGAGACATTCCTTCGTCTTAAATCTGGTCTCTGACATTAGCGTTGTACACCCACTTGCTTAGTGACTTCAATATTGCTACACCTGTGTATTGATCTTCTTTACACTTTAACACGAGTGTATTTTCACTGGTGCTCTACATTGTTGGCCAACAGCAATTGTTCAGATGTACTCCAATTACAAAAAGTCAGCGAAGTGTCGAGTTCGGGATGCTCTCAAGCGTGAACAGAAATCGGGTATCATAAGGACGACCCCAGTCAGCAGTATCCCCTGCATCCAAGCATATGAGGGATTCCAGAGGCAAAAGTTCAAACTGGCCCCATTACACGATGCCCCCACTTCATCTCAGGGTCCTTCAGCTGCAAATCCTAGTTCCCCTCCCCACACCTCACCTTATCCTATGGACGAATATATATCTGAGTCTCTTCACATCATTTCCGGCAAGGAAAAGACATGCGAGCCAGCCCCCCCACTGTTACCCCTTGATATCATGTCTAAGCATTCCATGTGATGCAACCATCAGAGGACGCGGTGGCACATAGATGTCCTGCCACATCTGATATGACTGAATATGAAGTGGATGCAGGAACGTTCTGCTTCATCAGAACGAAGCGACCCCTGTCAGCACTGTGATTGTGCTGGCCCTCACCAAGTGATGATGTGCTCTGCATCTACATGTCACAGCTTGAGAAGCAGCAGATGAGGGATTGTGAAGAGCAAACACTACTGTGGTCAGGGGACGACTCCTGGGTCCCCATGACCCTCCCCTATGGTCCACAACCTCTGGTGTAACCAGCCCTATCCAGGGCACAACCTACTGTGGTAAAAAAATGAATAGATAAAGAGGCAAGTGGATACACTTGCCTACTGTGGGTAAGAAGATGAGAAGGAAGCTAACTTCTCATCTTCCCACAGTGGCCACAATATCAGGCAAACTTCCAGGGATACTGGAAGCCACATGAGGGGGTGGGAACCGGGCCCGGAACATGCAATGCACGGAGCGTGCACATGTGCAGGAAGCGCAGCAGGTGGATGTGGGTCTGGATGCGGGTCCGGGTCCGGGCTAGTCAGGGTGTGTGCCCTGACAACTGTGCAGCTTGTCGAATGCGGCTTGTGCCCCAGTCCAACCCAAACTTGCTGTGAGCATGGTAATGCTTGACTGGGCCTCTATGCTGTTCTTACACATGGCACCGAACATACAGGCATGGACAACAACTGCCGAAATTATGCTTCAGCGTGAAAGGCATCATTTCGAGACTGCAAGTTCATTTCGTCATCGCTTTAGCAACTCCCTTGTGCACTATCAATTGCTCATCAGACTTGTTGATGCAGAGATGGACTGCATGGCAAGCGCCATCCCCATTCCACGTCGTCTTCTGCCTGGCCACCTCCGCAAACCATCCTCACCACCTTCAGTCTCAAATTGCCTTCTGGAATCAGACATGGATGTCAATCCTTCCCATCCAGATCCCAAGATCCCATCAGATTTAATGTCCAGCATACCCAGCGTTCTTCAAGCTCCGACCATTCATGTAAATTTGGATGAGAACACTTCGATCGATGTGTGAGAATATCGAAATGCTCATACATCCCCTATGTTTTCACATCCTGACCTTGTTAGGTATGGGTCAGCAAACGGGGACGACTGGCAGGGACAAGGCTCCGGGGTTGGGCTTCGGCCTCAGCGACTCCAAGAGAGTGCTGTGCCCACCTACTGTCTCAGTGCCCACATTTTGAAGTGGCTTGGGCTGCCTTGTTAGGGGGGACAAACCATGTTGATATTCAGACTAAAGTTATAATAATGTAATATACATATATATAAGTAAGAAACTGAATGAGTCAGGTGACAAAATAAAACAAAAGGAAACAGAATAAGGGCCGGCATCTGGGTCAGAATGCATGGTCGTGACAGACCTCCCCAGTGACTACCTCTGGGGAGGGTGTCCATGTTGTTTTGGCTCTACATCTAGTCCCATGTCCAAGTTGTCAGCAGATTGCATCATTTCATTCGATGCAAATTTTCAGCTGAAGAGGATCAAAGACTATGATAGGAGGCCCCAGTACCATGGATTGAACAAGATTGGTTCTCAGGATGTCACCTCAAACAATTGATGTTCCTCATGGTTATGCTGAGATGTGGCAGAGCAAGGTTGCTGAAATACGTGAACCCAAATGGAAATTTTGGGCTTCAAAAGGCAAAGGAAACATGGGTAGCGGCAAGGATGATCTTCCCAAGCAAAACCATGTCACCCCAGGGCTCAACCTGACAGAGAGCATGTATGATGGCTGTGAAGGCTCATTCACAGCTGCTGACAGGGAGTGCCAGAAGGCATCCAAGAAGTACTTTGATGAAATGGGCATTATGTCTGCTGTCTGTCGTCACAGCATACTGTTATTCTACATCAGCATTTGGACTCCAGGGGAACAACAGTTCTACATACTTTCATTACTTGGGAAGCTTATAGAGCATCTCTCTTTGTCATGGACCATTGGATGCCTGTATGACATTGGTTGCCAGACTGATTGTGCGCTTCACAAGTGGAATATTGCACCTGAGTCAGGGTCAAGGGGTAGTCGATGTCAGGGAGGAGAGTTCAGTTGCCCACCTGAATGGGTCTTATGCATCGATGGAATCTCGATTGTCAGAGGTGATGAGGGTCCGAGGGTGTGTGAGGCACAGGGTGACAAAGGTGGAGGTTGGGTATGATGTCGAGTGTGTTTTTGGCATCAGAGACGGAGCTGACTCGAGGGTCTTTGAGCAGCTAGGGTTGTCTGTGGGGAAGATGCGAAAATACTTTTGGTGGAGACTGGTGTATAGCACTGAGGTAGATAGAAGCGGGGTCCATATCCCTTTTTAGGATTAGACGTCCCAGCATCTGATTGACACAACAGGCTAGAGTCGGATCATCCGGAAGCAGAAGCTGAACATCATAGGAAGTGGAAGAGAGGTGTGTGGAGTAACTGGAGGGTTTCAGAATACTTCCAAGGAGAAGTGGAGGGGCAAGGATCGTGATAACGATCGTCCAGAGAGCTCTTGGAGGTGAGCCCGAAGGCAAGAGAGTAAGTGGAGTAGAGATGTGTGCATGCCATGTGCAAAGGTTAAATGTTAACCGGTAGCAAGCTTTGGTGAAGCATACAAGGTTACCAATGGTGTAGGAGTCTTCCTCATGGTTAGAGGTAGACAGAGAAAGAGTGCCAGCCATCGGAACAAGTCCAGAGGCAACAGGGAAAGGCAATGGTGAAGAGGAAAGAAAGTGTTCTCATACCTAGACAACGTTTACTCAGGTCCATTACTCGTCTCAGGGTGAGCAGATATCAGCCAGATACTTGAGCACAAACTTATCCAATGGGGAGACATAAAGACGTCAACAGATGGGATCCTAACTCCAAGAGAGAGGACGGAGGGAATGAGTCAACCAATGGAACTAGGTCCAGAGGCGATGGAAAGAGTATGGGGGAGTTGCGGTGGGGTGTCCAGTGGTTCGGAGGTACTGCTCATGATCTAGGCTCAATGGAGCACATAGGTGAGACAGCTATCCCAGTGGTGGAACACTGACCGAAGGCAACGAGGCAAGGTAGAGTCGGAATGGGAGTGTGAGGTGGTCAAACTGGGGTGTCTGAAGAGTCCGGGGTAATGTACTGCAGTACCAGTCACTCAACGGAGCAAGGGGGTAGAGTACCAGTGTCCTAGACAATAGACAAGGTCCATTTGACAAGGGAGATGTATCAAACATCTTCGAAGTTGGTAAGGGGGTGTGTGTCAACCAGCGGTGTGAGGTCCGGAGGCAACGGAAGAGTAAGTAGAGTTGGGTGAGTTGGGTTGTGGAGTTTGGAGGTCCAGGCAAGGTGAGCTCAAGAACTACCGCTCAATGGAGTGCACAGGAGAGACAGGTTATGCCATGAGACGACTGAGACACAAGCCAAAACAGCCAGGGTGGTGTAGAACGTCATCGAGAGAGAGGAGGACGTGGTATCAACCAACGGTGTGAGGTCTGAAGGAAGATGGGGCCAGATGGGGTGGAAGCGGAGCGTGGCTCGCTGTCTTGGAGTAGGGCGCTTGGCATTACTAATGGAATGCCAGGCAGTGGGGAGTGCAATGGGGAATCGGGTGAGGTGCCTACCGATGGATGAAGTCCAAAGGCAAACTGGGGTGATATATCGCGGAATAGCCTGGGATGTTCAGAGTACGGACCAGGTAACTGCTCTTAAACCCTCGACCAACGGGTCAAATTGTGGGTGAGTCAGTTGGTGTCCTAGAACTAAGAGACAGGGTCCAGCTATGGGTGACAAGGGGTGTCCAGGTTGATTCGATCCAAAGCGAAGCGGATTGGGTAGGTCGATGGCCTGGGTACTGGTGTGCCAGCAGTGCGTGTTGACGCTTGGGTGATGACCAGCGAGGAGCCGGTGCATCGGAAGGTGGGGGAGGTCAAGGACGAAGTGTCCAAGACAGGGGTAGAAGGACTGAGAGGCAGGGGGGAAACGAGGGGCGAGGTGTGGGAGTGAAGGTGATAGAAGGTGGCTCCCAGGGACCTAAAAGTGGTGTCAGGGCACATGTCAAACGCATCCAACGGTGCCGAAGGGCACGGACCAGACTGGTCCGTATGATGGAAGGTGGTTCCCATGCAACACAGTGGATGGTGTGTGCTGCGAAGTGACAAGGGACCGGGGAAGAAGGAAGGTGGGGGGTGGCTGGCTTACCTGAAGCCAAGACAAAGGGTGCAGTCGACTGCGGAAGGTGGAGGCAGTCGGGTGCCAGGTGCTCGATGTCAGAACTAGACAACAGCAATGGGGAGTCTAAAATACTGTTAGAACTGGGCGAGGGTGGACGATTTCGGAGGGGAACTGGAGACTTAGCAAGGAGGGACCTTGGCCTCAGTGACTCAAGTGGAGCACTGTGCCATTGCTGTTTGTCCATTTGGTCCTTAATTTCATAGGAGGCGAGCAGGAAGTCTCTAGGGGGCATTTCAGGTCGATTTTAGACTAAGGACTAAAATGAGTATGTACAAGCGCCGATATATATAATGAAGAAGGCAAAAGCACAGGGAAACAAAGGGGGTCTGAATCAGAACGAAGGCATCCGAACAGGAACAAAGGGATGACAGAAGTGGAGTGGTACCAAAGGTCATAGGGCAGAACCTGTGGTATGTCCGAAAGGAGGTAAGGAGGGCAAAGCCCAGAGGGGCAGGAGGATGAGGGGACATGGGGATGATGACTAACTGGCTAGAATGGGAAGAAGCAGCAGTCCAAATAGGGATGAGGGGAAAATGCGAGAGATACATTACAAGCGGCGAAAGTGCCAAAGATGATCGGTGGAGCTCGGAGGTTGCAGAGGTTATGGAGGTTACGGAGGCAGGGTTGAAAGTTCGAGGAATATTGGCAATGGTGTTTACATAGTATGAGGTCACCAATGCAATGGATTAAAGCCGAGGTGGAGTCAAAGTCCGAGGTAGGAACTATGACGGAGACTCGGAGCGAAGGTACAAATGGTGTCCAAGTATGAGGTACGGGACAGTGGCAGAAGGTCGTAACCTGGCAGGAGGTCAGCGGAAGAGGGCCAGAGGGAAGAGAGAGGAAAGAGGAAAGGGGAGAGGAGTGTCGGAGAGGAAAGGTGTCAGGTCCAAAGGTGAGTGTCGGAGCGGACAGGAGAAAGGTAGGAGAATGATGGAAGGGTGGAGGTGTTGTGAGGAGGAAGCGGAGGAGTGGGAGGAGGAGTAGGAGGAGGGTGGTGAGAGGAGTGGTGTTCGGTCCGAGGTGAGTATTGGAGCGGACGGAGATAGGACAGGAGAAGGACGGAGGAGTGGAGGTGGCATGAGGGGTGAGAGGAGGTGTGGTGTCAGGACCGAAGGTGAACATTGGAATGGACAGCGGTAGGGTAGGACTCCAGAGGTGGTGAAGGAGGAGGTCCGGGAGTCAGTTCGGGATCGGGTATGCACGGATATGACAGCCTGAGTCACTGAGGCCAAGGTCCTTCCACGCTAAGTCTCCGATTCCACTCCGGAGTCGTCCAAATCCGCCCATTCTAACAGAACCAAGATCTGCACTTCAGCAGATTGCGAAGACCAATTTCTGTCCAAATATGGAAGACTCCAGTCAAAACAAAGCACAGAGAATGTGAAAACACCTTAGAACATGATGGAAAAATCTGAAATAAATCATGAAAGCCTGTATTAAGAATATAAACACCTATGCATACAATAAATCCTGAATAATTAAACAGAAACGTTGACCACACACAAACGAGTGTGAGAACAACACATGTGATTACCGATTGTGTGCATGAACTTTTGCTAACTTGACAAATACTGAGAGTTAGAGTATGTCATATCCTGGAATCTTGACCCTGCACCTTCCTAACAACCTTGCCATCCCCTACACTATCCCTCCTTGTGTTCTCACCCCACTTCCACCCCTACTGTCTCAGAATTGCCAGATTGCTCTGACCCCCTGACGGACCTCTGACATTTTGTTATATACTACTAAACCCTTCCTCTCTCCATTTCATTTATTGGAGCCACCCAACATTTCTTGGGTATTAACTCTGGCTTCAGAGCTACCTGTATCTCCTGGTGACTCCACCCTCATCATCTTAATTAGTCATCTTCCACTTATTGCATGGCTGACACTGAAAGAGGGCTAGCAGCTCTCTATGCTGACTAAGCTTGTGGGGGCCAAACTCTCCAAACACTCTACTTTCTCTCTTGACTTCACTATGCTTGGTCCTTAACTCTGCAGTGGGTTCTCCAGGATTTCCGCAAGGTCTGGGCTCAGTGTTGCCATATCCATACAATCCTGACCTCCGCTCCGGGCTCCTGGAACTCCGAACTCCGACTTCCGGAGCCCTACTTCCCTTCCATCACTTTCTCCTTGCCGACTCCCAAGAGGTTATCCCACCTCCAGCTCGGACACCACCTTCGGTCCGACTCCGGAACATTCCGGGTCCGACCCCAACCTCGACACCTTCCAGGCGAGTACACAAAACCTATGCTCCCGACTCCGGACCTCCGCTCCGGTATCCCATTCACGTCTCATCTCCAGAACCTCCGGTCTTAGCTCTGACCTCGGACTTTGACCCCACCTCCACTTATACCCATTGTATTGGTTAGCTCATTCCATTTAATTACCTTTGCCAATATTCCGGAGTTTAACCTCCGAGTTCGGACTTTCCAGACTTACTCCGGACCTTGCAACTATTGCATTGTCCATTTCAATTCCGCTATTCTCCCTCATTCCTATTTGGGCTGCTGCTTCCTTTCTATTCAGTCAGCTAGCCATTCCCGACTCCCATCCTCCTTCCTTCCTTCTTGGGCCTTGGCCCTTCATTCCTCCTTTGGGAAACACCATTGAGTCAAACACTTGACCCTCGGTGTTGTTCCTCTTTCCATCTCCCTTTGTCTCCTTTTGTCCTACCCTTGTTCCTTTTGATTCCAGACCCCTCCTTATATACAATGTACCTAGTAACTTGTAACCTCAGTCCGAAATCGACTTGAATTCCCCCCAAGAGACTTTCCCCCTGCTAGATCCGAAATTAGGGACCTGTTAGAGATGGGCGGAAACAGACGACTCCGGAGT